TGGTCTCTCTCTGGTCTCTCTCTCTGGTCTCTCTCTGGTCTCTCTCTGGTCTCTCTCTGGTCTCTCTCTGGTCTCTCTGATGGTCTCTCTCTGGTCTCTCTCTCTGGTCTCTCTCTCTGGTCTCTCTCTGGTCTTTCTCTGGTCTCTCTCTGGTCTCTCTCTGGTCTCTCTCTCTGGTCTCTCTCTGGTCTCTCTCTGGTCTCTCTCTCTGGTCTCTCTCTCTGGTCTCTCTCTCTGGTCTCTCTCTGGTCTCTCTCTGGTCTCTCTCTGGTCTCTCTCTGGTCTCTCTCTCTGGTCTCTCTCTGGTCTCTCTCTGGTCTCTCTCTGGTCTCTCTCTGGTCTCTCTCTCTGGTCTCTCTCTGGTCTCTCTCTGGTCTCTCTCTGGTCTCTCTCTGGTCTCTCACTGGTCCCTCTCTGGTCCCTCTCTGGTCTCTCTCTGGTCTCTCTCTCTGGTCTCTCTCTGGTCTCTCTCTGGTCTCTCTCTGGTCTCTCTCTGGTCTCTCTCTGGTCTCTCTCTGGTCTCTCCCTGGTCCCTCTCTGGTCTCTCTCTGGTCTCTCTCTGGTCTCTCTCTGGTCTCTCTCTGGTCTCTCTCTGGTCTCTCTCCGGTCTCTCTCTGGTCTCTCTCTCTGGTCTCTCTCTGGTCTCTCTCTGGTCTCTCTCTCTGGTCTCTCCCTGGTCCCTCTCTGGTCTCTCTCTGGTCTCTCTCTGGTCTCTCTCTGGTCTCTCTCTCTGGTCTCTCTCTGGTCTCTCTCTGGTCTCTCTCTGGTCTCTCTCTGGTCTCTCTCTGGTCTCTCTCCGGTCTCTCTCCGGTCTCTCTCTGGTCTCTCTCTCTGGTCTCTCTCTGGTCTCTCTCTCTGGTCTCTCTCTGGTCTCTCTCTGGTCTCTCTCTCTGGTCTCTCTCTCTGGTCTCTCTCTCTGGTCTCTCTCTCTGGTCTCTCTCTGGTCTCTCTCTCTGGTCTCTCTCTCTGGTCTCTCTCTCTGGTCTCTCTCTCTGGTCTCTCTCTGGTCTCTCTCTGGTCTCTCTCTGGTCTCTCTCTGGTCTCTCTCTGGTCTCTCTCTCTGGTCTCTCTCTGGTCTCTCTCTGGTCTCTCTCTGGTCTCTCTCTGGTCTCTCTCTGGTCTCTCTCTCTGGTCTCTCTCTGGTCTCTCTCTGGTCTCTCTCTGGTCTCTCACTGGTCCCTCTCTGGTCCCTCTGTGGTCTCTCTCTCTGGTCTCTCTCTCTGGTCTCTCTCTGGTCTCTCTCTGGTCTCTCTCTGGTCTCTCTCTGGTCTCTCTCTGGTCTCTCTCTGGTCTCTCCCTGGTCCCTCTCTGGTCTCTCTCTGGTCTCTCTCTGGTCTCTCTCTGGTCTCTCTCTGGTCTCTCTCCGGTCTCTCTCTGGTCTCTCTCTCTGGTCTCTCTCTGGTCTCTCTCTGGTCTCTCTCTCTGGTCTCTCCCTGGTCTCTCTCTGGTCTCTCTCTGGTCTCTCTCTGGTCTCTCTCTCTGGTCTCTCTCTCTGGTCTCTCTCTGGTCTCTCTCTGGTCTCTCTCTGGTCTCTCTCTCTGGTCTCTCTCTGTTCTCTCTCTGGTCTCTCTCTCTGGTCTCTCTCTCTGGTCTCTCTCTGGTCTCTCTCTGGTCTCTCTCTGGTCTTTCTCTGGTCTCTCTCTGGTCTCTCTCTGGTCTCTCTCTGGTCTCTCTCTGGTCTCTCTCTGGTCTCTCTCTCTGGTCTCTCTCTGGTCTCTCTCTGGTCTCTCTCTGGTCTCTCTCTGGTCTCTCTCTCTGGTCTCTCTCTGGTCTCTCTCTGGTCTCTCTCTGGTCTCTCTCTGGTCTCTCTCTCTGGTCTCTCTCTGGTCTCTCTCTGGTCTCTCTCTCTGGTCTCTCTCACTGGTCTCTCTCTCTGGTCTCTCTCTCTGGTCTCTCTCTCTGGTCTCTCTCTGGTCTCTCTCTCTGGTCTCTCTCTGTTCTCTCTCTGGTCTCTCTCTCTGGTCTCTCTCTGGTCTCTCTCTGGTCTCTCTCTGGTCTCTCTCTCTGGTCTCTCTCTGGTCTCTCTCTGGTCTCTCTCTCTGGTCTCTCTCTCTGGTCTCTCTCTGGTCTCTCTCTGGTCTCTCTCTGGTCTCTCTCTCTGGTCTCTCTCTGGTCTCTCTCTCTGGTCTCTCTCTCTGGTCTCTCTCCGGTCTCTCTCTGGTCTCTCTCTCTGGTCTCTCTCTGGTCTCTCTCTGGTCTCTCTCTGGTCTCTCTCTGTTCTCTCTCTGGTCTCTCTCTGGTCTCTCTCTGGTCTCTCTCTGGTCTCTCTCTGTTCTCTCTCTGGTCTCTCTCTCTGGTCTCTCTCTGGTCTCTCTCTGGTCTCTCTCTGGTCTCTCTCTCTGGTCTCTCTCTCTGGTCTCTCTCTGGTCTCTCTCTGGTCTCTCTCTGGTCTCTCTCTGGTCTCTCTCTCTGGTCTCTCTCTCTGGTCCCTCTCTGGTCCCTCTCTGCTCTCTTCCTGGTCTCTCTCACCTGGTGTCCTGCAGACCCGTAGCTCCAGACGTTCAGGGGGATCCTTCGTCGTCGCAGTGAAGTGTTTCCCACAAAGAAGTGAAGCGTCGCAGACAGCACCGACTCCGAGCGCGAGAGGGACGTCAGGTTAGCAAAAAACATCCACCGATCGCCCAGGAGCCCTGAGAACACACGGTTAAAGTGAAGTTTGAGGACAATTTATATACAAAAAATATTGTTTTAAAACTTGCTCGTCCACCCTCTCTCAGCTCCAGGGGTCAGAGGTCACAGGTCAGTGGTCAGCACCAGGATCTATATTAGACTGATCCAAACCAGTATACTACAGTATACCGCAGTGTACCACAGTATACTACAGTATACTACAGTGTACCACAGTATACTACAGTATACCACAGTGTACCACAGTATACTACAGTATACTACAGTGTACCACAGTATACCACAGTATACCACAGTGTACCACAGTATACTACAGTATACCACAGTATACCACAGTATACTACAGTATACCACAGTGTACCACAGTATACTACAGTATACTACAGTGTACCACAGTATACCACAGTGTACCACAGTGTACCACAGTATACTACAGTATACCACAGTGTACCACAGTATACTACAGTATACCACAGTATACCACAGTATACCACAGTGTACCACAGTGTACCACAGTATACTACAGTATACCACAGTATACCACAGTATACTACAGTATACCACAGTGTACCACAGTATACTACAGTATACCACAGTGTACCACAGTATACTACAGTATACTACACTATACTACAGTGTACCACAGTATACCACAGTATACCACAGTGTACCACAGTATACTACAGTATACCACAGTGTACCACAGTATACCACAGTATACTACAGTATACTACAGTGTACCACAGTATACCACAGTATACCACAGTGTACCACAGTATACTACAGTATACTACAGTGTACCACAGTGTACCACAGTATACTACAGTATACTACAGTGTACCACAGTGTACCACAGTATACTACAGTATACCACAGTATACCACAGTATACTACAGTATACTACAGTATACCACAGTATACTACAGTATACCACAGTGTACCACAGTATACTACAGTATACCACAGTATACCACAGTATACTACAGTATACCACAGTGTACCACAGTATACTACAGTATACCACAGTATACCACAGTATACTACAGTATACCACAGTGTACCACAGTATACTACAGTATACCACAGTGTACCACAGTATACTACAGTATACCACAGTATACCACAGTATACTACAGTATACCACAGTGTACCACAGTATACTACAGTATACCACAGTATACCACAGTATACTACAGTATACCACAGTGTACCACAGTATACTACAGTATACTACAGTGTACCACAGTATACCACAGTATACTACAGTATACCACAGTGTACCACAGTATACTACAGTATACCACAGTATACCACAGTATACTACAGTATACCACAGTGTACCACAGTATACTACAGTATACCACAGTGTACCACAGTATACCACAGTATACTACAGTATACCACAGTATACCACAGTATACTACAGTATACCACAGTGTACCACAGTATACTACAGTATACCACAGTGTACCACAGTATACCACAGTATACTACAGTATACCACAGTGTACCACAGTATACTACAGTATACCACAGTGTACCACAGTATACTACAGTATACCACAGTATACTACAGTATACCACAGTGTACCACAGTATACTACAGTATACCACAGTGTACCACAGTATACTACAGTATACCACAGTGTACCACAGTATACTACAGTATACCGCAGTATACCACAGTATACTACAGTATACCACAGTGTACCACAGTATACTACAGTATACCACAGTGTACCACAGTATACTACAGTGTACCACAGTATACCACAGTATACCACAGTATACTACAGTATACCACAGTATACCACAGTGTACCACAGTATGCTACAGTATACCACAGTATACTACAGTGTACCACAGTATACCACAGTGTACTACAGTATACCACAGTATACTACAGTATACCACAGTATACTACAGTGTACTACAGTATACCACAGTGTACTACAGTATACCACAGTATACCACAGTATACTACAGTATACTACAGTATACCACAGTATACCACAGTATACTACAGTATACTACAGTATACCACAGTATACTACAGTATACCACAGTATACCACAGTGTACTACAGTATACTACAGTATACTACAGTATACTACAGTATACCACAGTATACCATAGTATACCACAATATACCACAGTATACTACAGTATACTACAGTATACCACAGTATACTACAGTATACTACAGTATACCACAGTGTACCACAGTATACCACTGTATACTACAGTGTACCACAGTATACTACAGTATACTACAGGGTACCACAGTATACTACAGTATACTACAGTATTTTTATTTATTTATTTATTTGACAGGGACAGTACAAAAAAAACATTGTCACCCACAGGTAACCGATGTGAAGTACACAAGGCTTCTAGCCAAAGGCTATACCACAGTATACTACAGTATACCACAGTATACTACAGTGTACTACAATATACCACAGTATACTACAGTATACCACAGTATACTACAGTATACTGTGTTATACTGTAGTATACTACAGTATACCACAGTATACTACAGTATACTACAGTGTACCACAGTATACTACAGTATACTACAGTGTACCACAGTATACTACAGTATACTACAGTATACCACAGTATACTACAGTATACTACAGTATACTACAGTATACCACAGTATACTACAGTATACCACAGTGTACTACAGTATACCACAGTATACTACAGTATACCACAGTATACTACAGTGTACCACAGTATACTACAGTATACTACAGTATACCACAGTATACTACAGTATAGTACAGTATAAATATACTGTATAAAATAATGTTTATGTACATGAATGTCCTATATACAGGGGTGGCTGAATGGATAGCACTATCGCCTCTCAGCAAGAAGGTCCTGGGTTCGAATCCCGGTCGGACCAGGGCCTTTCTGAGTGGAGTTTGCATGTTCTCCCCGTGTCTGTGTGGAGTGAGAGCCTAATGCCCAAAAATAACAATTGTAAACGGCTTTATATGTATAGTTTAGTTCTTATTTGGTGTCTTGCACCTACAGCAGATAACACCTGAAGTAGAAGCAGACATCAGAAAATCCTCTTCCGTTAGAGCCATGCACTTCACACAAACTTAACAAATGAAAAGGCTTATACTTGAACAGAAACAGTTCAGACTAAAGTTCAGCAGCATCAGTTTACAGAATAATTACCTTCTCAGTTCATGGTACACAGGACAATAAAACACAACATGCACTTCATTTTCAATATCGTTTAAGTGACACAAACAACATGTCCTCTCCTCCTCTGGGACCGAGGGAAATGGATCTGTCTCCAGAGCCAGGGGCAGGGTCCCAGACCAGGGTCCCAGACCAGGGTCCCAGACCTCACAGACTGACCTCTGACCTCTGGTCAGGTTCAGGGTCACAGGCTCAGGACCAAAATGATCTTTTATCAAAACATAAGTTCTCAGTTTTGGCTTACACAAGACATTGTTTAACCATTTATGTTTATACTTTTCAAAATAAACTTTTTTAATTTATCTACTATATATATATATATATATACATGTATATATTATATATATATATATATATATATATATATATATATATATACATGTATATATACATATGTATACATGTATATATATATATACATACATATATATACATGTATATATATACATGTATATATACATGTATATATACATGTATATGGATATATACTTTGTACAGACAGTATGTATAAACATACATAAAGACAGTGACTTACCCCACTTGGCTTTAAAGCTGCGGACTGTGTTTCCATCCGTCGCGCGCGCGTCACGGCTGTATTTGGCGTAGAGCGCGCGCATGTGCTTTGTCAGTGCATCCGGAACACTCACGTCCTGTTTGTGCGTGTGTGTGCGTGCGTGTGTGTGCGTGTGTGTGCGTGCGTGTGTGTGCGCGTGTATTTGCGCATGAGTCCAGGTGTAAACCAGAAGCAGGACCAGAGCACGCAAAGCCATGACGCTACAGACAGTAATCCACAGGGGGTCACACGGGGGCGCGCATCCTCACACTCTCTGGTCTGTGGTCTCTCTCTGGTCTCCCTCTAGTCCCTGGTCTCTGGTCTCCGGTCTCTCTGTGGTCCCTGATCTCTCTGGTCTCTGGTCGCCTTCTGGTCTCTCTGGTCTCTGTGTCTGGTCTCTGGTCCCTGGTCGCCTTCTGGTCTCTCTGGTCTCCCTCTGGTCTTAGGTCTCTCTCTGGTCTCTGGCCCCTGGTGTCTCCCTCTAGTCTCTGGCCTCTGGTCTCTCTGGTCTCCCTCTGGTCTCTGAGCCGCTACTGCTCTGGGGGTTTTACTCAGAGCAGCTGTGAACACACACACACGCACACACTCACAGGACACACACACACTCACAGGACACGCACACACTCACAGGACACACACACACTCACAGGACACGCACACACTCACAGGACACACACACACTCACAGGACACACACACACTCACAGGACACACACACACACTCACAGGACACACACACACTCACAGGACACGCACACACACTCACAGGACACACACACACTCACAGGACACGCACACACACTCACAGGACACACACACACTCACAGGACACACACACACTCACAGGACACACACACACACTCACAGGACACACACACACTCACAGGACACACACATTCTTGTTTATCACCTTTCTATCTCTTGTCCAAATGTTCCGTGACTTCTACACTTGACCGGTTCACCGGCGTCACACCCCCAGCCCCCCCCCTCCTCCATGGGAGCTCATGCGAATGCAGGTGGACAGAGCTCTTGTTTTGATAATGTTGGAGCATGTCCCCTTTAAATGTGCAGCTGGCAGGTTGTGGGTTCGACTCTCACATTCCTCTGTGGAGATCAGGGACTATTTTTACTGAAACTCGAGTGGATAATTATCATTTTTGGTCGACCGCTCCGTGCCGCGGTCAGCCGGCTCTTCACAGATGTGAGGAGGAGGAGCAACTATTTATACTGCACATGCACTCCCACTTCACCGCGGGCTCCAGGCCGCACCCAAGCCCTGGTCTCTCCAACATGTCTGCCCCTGGTCTCTCCAACATGTCTGCCTGGTCTCTCCAAGATGTCTGCCCCTGGTCTTTCCAACATGTCTGCCTGGTCTCTCCAAGATGTCTGCCCCTGGTCTTTCCAACATATCTGCCCCTGGTCTCTCCAACATGTCTGCCTGGTCTCTCCAAGATGTCTGCCCCTGGTCTTTCCAACATGTCTGCCCCTGGTCTTTCCAACATGTCTGCCTGGTCTCTCCAAGATGTCTGCCCCTGGTCTCTCCAACATGTCTGCCCCTGGTCTCTCCAACATGTCTGCCCCTGGTCTCTCCAACATGTCTGCCCCTGGTCTCTCCAACATGTCTGCCTGGTCTCTCCAAGATGTCTGCCCCTGGTCTCTCCAACATGTCTGCCCCTGGTCTCTCCAACATGTCTGCCCCTGGTCTCTCCAACATGTCTGCCTGGTCTCTCCAACATGTCTGCCTGGTCTCTCCAAGATGTCTGCCCTTGGTCTCTCCAAGATGTCTGCCTGGTCTCTCCAAGATGTCTGCCCCTGGTCTCTCCAAGATGTCTGCCCCTGGTCTCTCGAACGTGTCTGCCTCTGGTCTCTCCAACATGTCTGCCTCTGGTCTCTCCAAGATGCCTCACCCTGACTGGCAGCGTTTGACCGGGCCTCACCCTGACTGACTGCGTTTGACCCGGGCCTCACCCTGACTGACTGCATTTGACCCGGGCCTCACCCTGACTGGCAGCGTTTGACCCGGGCCTCACCCTGACTGGCAGCGTTTGACCCGGGCCTCACCCTGACTGACTGCGTTTGACCCGGGCCTCACCCTGACTGGCAGCGTTTGACCCGGGCCTCACCCTGACTGGCAGCGTTTGACCCGGGCCTCACCCTGACTGGCAGCGTTTGACCCGGGCCTCACCCTGACTGGCAGCGTTTGACCCGGGCCTCACCCTGACTGGCAGCGTTTGACCCGGGCCTCACCCTGACTGGCAGCGTTTGACCCGGGCCTCACCCTGACTGGCAGCGTTTGACCCGGGCCTCACCCTGACTGGCAGCGTTTTGACCCGGGCCTCACCCTGACTGACTGCGTTTGACCCGGGCCTCACCCTGACTGACTGCGTTTGACCCGGGCCTCACCCTGACTGACTGCGTTTGACCCGGGCCTCACCCTGACTGACTGCGTTTGACCCGGTCTCCCAAACGTTCACCAAACGCTGCTGTTTGCAGAAGACTTCACATCTGAGTGAGACGTTCTGACTGTCACTGTGGACACCGGGTCAAACAGAGCTCAGAGTGAACCCAGAGAATCACACACACACACACACACACACTGACACAGACTCACACACTAACACACTGACCCACACACACACACAGACTCACACATTAACACATATACACACACTGACACAGACTCACACATTAACACATATACACACACTGACACAGACTCACACATTAACACAGACACAGACCCACACACTGACACAGACTCACACATTAACACATATACACACACTGACACAGACTCACACATTAACACAGACACAGACCCACACACTGACACAGACTCACACATTAACACATATACACACACTGACACAGACTCACACATTAACACAGACACAGACCCACACACTGACAAAGACTCACACATTAACACATATACACACACTGACACAGACCCACACACAGACTCACACACTAACACAGACACACACACTGACATAGACTCACACACTAACACAGACACAGACCCACACATACCTGTACATACACACTGACACACACACACATTGACACAGACATACACACACACACTGACACAGACATACACACACACATACACACTGACACAGACATACACACACACACACTGACACAGACATACACACTGACACACATACACACTGACACAGACATACACACTGACACACATACACACTGACACAGACATACACACTGACACAGACATACACACACTGACACAGACATACACACATACACACTGACACACATACACACTGACACAGACATACACACACACACATACACACACACACACTGACACAGACATACACACACACACATACACACTGACACAGACATACACACATACACACTGACACAGACATACACACACTGACACAGACATACACACACACACATACACACTGACACAGACATACACACATACACACTGACACACATACACACTGACACAGACATACACACACACACATACACAGACATACACACACACACACTGACACAGACATACACACACACACATACACACTGACACAGACATACACACACACACATACACACACACACACTGACACAGACATACACACACACACATACACACTGACACAGACATACACACTGACACACATACACACTGACACAGACATACACACACACACATACACAGACATACACACACACACACTGACACAGACATACACACACACACATACACACTGACACAGACATACACACTGACACAGACATACACACACACACATACACACTGACGACACAACATACACACACACACAATACATACACACTGACACAGACATACACACACACACATACATACACACTGACACAGACATACACACACACACATACATACACACTGACACAGACATACACACACACACATACATACACACTGACACAGACATACACACACACACACATACATACACACTGACACAGACATACACACACACACATACATACACACTGACACAGACATACACACACACACATACATACACACTGACACAGACATACACACACACACATACATACACACTGACACAGACATACACACACACACATACATACACACTGACACAGACAACACACACACACATACATACACACACACAGACATACACACACATACATACACACTGACACAGACATACACACACACACACACATACATACACACACACACACAGACATACACACACACACATACATACACACTGACACAGACATACACACACACACATACATACACACTGACACAGACATACAACACACACACACACACTCACAACACACACACACACACACATACACATACACACACATACATACACACTGACACAGACATCACACACACACATACATACACACTGACACAGACATACACACACACACATACATACACACTGACACAGACATACACACACACACATACATACACACTGACACAGACATACACACACACACATACATACACACTGACACAGACATACACACACACACATACATACACACTGACACAGACATACACACACACACATACATACACACTGACACAGACATACACACACACACATACATACACACTGACACAGACATACACACACACACATACATACACACTGACACAGACATACACACACACACATACATACACACTGACACAGACATACACACACACACATACATACACACTGACACAGACATACACACACACACATACATACACACTGACACAGACACAGACATACATACACACACACACATACATACACACTGACACAGACATACACACACACACATACATACACACTGACACAGACATACACACACACACACATACATACACACTGACACAGACATCACACACACACACATACATACACACTGACACAGACATACACACACACACATACATACACACTGACACAGACATACACACACACACATACATACACACTGACACAGACATACACACACACACATACATACACACACACACATACATACACACTGACACAGACATACACACTGACACACACACACACACTGACACAGACATACACACTGACACACACATACACACAGGGGTGTCCCCGTCCCGAAGAAGCCCAGGATCACAGGACTCAATGACTACAGACCTGTAGCACTTACGTCTGTCGTCATGAAGTCATTTGAACGCCTGGTTCTCTCCCATCTCAAGTCCCTCACCTCCCCCCTACTGGACCCCCTGCAGTTCACCTCCCCCCTCCTGGACCCCCTGCAGTTCACCTCCCCCCTACTGGACCCCCTGCAGTTCACCTCCCCCTCCTGGACCCCCTGCAGTTCACCTCCCCCTCCTGGACCCCCTGCAGTTCACCTCCCCCCTCCTGGACCCCCTGTAGGTCACCTCCCCCCTCCTGGACCCCCTGCAGTTCACCTCCCCCCTCCTGGACCCCCTGCAGTTCACCTCCCCCCTCCTGGACCCCCTGCAGTTCACCTCCCCCCTCCTGGACCCCCTGCAGTTCACCTCCCCCCTCCTGGACCCCCTGTAGTTCACCTCCCCCCTCCTGGACCCCCTGCAGTTCACCTCCCCCCTCCTGGACCCCCTGCAGTTCACCTCCCCCCTCCTGGACCCCCTGCAGTTCACCTCCCCCCTCCTGGACCCCCTGCAGTTCACCTCCCCCCTCCTGGACCCCCTGTAGTTCACCTCCCCCCTCCTGGACCCCCTGTAGTTCACCTCCCCCCTCCTGGACCCCCTGCAGTTCACCTCCCCCCTCCTGGACCCCCTGCAGTTCACCTCCCCCCTCCTGGACCCCCTGCAGTTCACCTCCCCCCTCCTGGACCCCCTGCAGTTCACCTCTCCCCTCCTGGACCCCCTGCAGTTCACCTCCCCCCTCCTGGACCCCCTGCAGTTCGCCTACAGAGCCAACAGATCTGTAGACGACGCCATTAACCTGGCCCTCCACCACATCCTACAGCACCTGGACTCCCCGGGGACCTACGCCAGGGTCCTGTTCGTGGACTTCAGCTCTGCCTTCAACACAATCCTGCCATCCCTGCTCCAGGACAAGCTCTCCCAGCTCAACGTGCCCGATTCCACCTGCAGGTGGATCACTGACTTCCTGACGGACAGGAAGCAGCGAGTACGTCTGGGGAAGAATGTCTCGGACTCTCGGATTATAAATACAGGAGCCCCACAGGGCTGTGTTCTTTCTCCCCTGCTCTTCTCCCTGTACACCAACCACTGCACCTCCTCCCACTGCACCTCCTCCCACTGCACCTCCAACCACTGCACCTCCAGCCACGACTCCGTGAAGCTGATCAAGTTCGCGGACGACACCACCCTCATTGGACTCATCTCCAACAACGATGAGTCCGCCTACAGGAGGGAGGTGGACCGGCTGGTGTCCTGGTGTCTCCTACAGGAGGGAGGTGGACCGGCTGGTGTCCTGGTGTCTCCTACAGGAGGGAGGTGGACCGGCTGGTTTCCTGGTGTCTCCTACAGGAGGGAGGTGGACCGACTGGTGTCCTGGTGTCTCCTACAGGAGGGAGGTGGACCGACTGGTGTCCTGGTGTCTCCTACAGGAGGGAGGTGGACCGGCTGGTGTCCTGGTGTCTCCTACAGGAGGGAGGTGGACCGACTGGTGTCCTGGTGTCTCCTACAGGAGGGAGGTGGACCGGCTGGTGTCCTGGTGTCTCCTACAGGAGGGAGGTGGACCGGCTGGTGTCCTGGTGTCTCCTACAGGAGGGAGGTGGACCGGCTGGTGTCCTGGTGTCTCCTACAGGAGGGAGGTGGACCGGCTGGTGTCCTGGTGTCTCCTACAGGAGGGAGGTGGACCGGCTGGTGTCCTGGTGTCTCCTACAGGAGGGAGGTGGACCGGCTGGTGTCCTGGTGTCTCCTACAGGAGGGAGGTGGACCGGCTGGTGTCCAGGTGTCTCCTACAGGAGGGAGGTGGACCGGCTGGTGTCTCCTACAGGAGGGAGGTGGACCGGCTGGTGTCCTGGTGTCTCCTACAGGAGGGAGGTGGACCGGCTGGTGTCCTGGTGTCTCCTACAGGAGGGAGGTGGACCGGCTGGTGTCCTGGTGTCTCCTACAGGAGGGAGGTGGACCGGCTGGTGTCCTGGTGTCTCCTACAGGAGGGAGGTGGACCGGCTGGTGTCCTGGTGTCTCCTACAGGAGGGAGGTGGACCGGCTGGTGTCCTGGTGTCTCCTACAGGAGGGAGGTGGACCGGCTGGTGTCCTGGTGTCTCCTACAGGAGGGAGGTGGACCGGCTGGTGTCCTGGTGTCTCCTACAGGAGGGAGGTGGACCGGCTGGTGTCCTGGTGTCTCCTACAGGAGGGAGGTGGACCGGCTGGTGTCCTGGTGTCTCCTACAGGAGGAGGTGGACCGGCTGGTGTCCTGGTGTCTCCTACAGGAGGGAGGTGGACCGGCTGGTGTCCTGGTGTCTCCTACAGGAGGAAGGTGGACCGGCTGGTGTCCTGGTGTCTCCTACAGGAGGGAGGTGGACCGGCTGGTGTCCTGGTGTCTCCTACAGGAGGGAGGTGGACCGGCTGGTGTCCTGGTGTCTCCTACAGGAGGGAGGTGGACCGGCTGGTGTCCTGGTGTCTCCTACAGGAGGGAGGTGGACCGGCTGGTGTCCTGGTGCAGTGGTAACAACCTGGAGCTGAACGCCCAGAAGACAGTGGAGATGATTGTGGACTTCAGGAAGAGCACTGTCCCCCCGCCCCCACCCTCCGTGATGGACTCCCCCATCACCTCTGTGGAGTCCTTCCGTTTCCTGGGCACCACCATCACCCAGGACCTCAAGTGGGAGCCGACCATCAGCTCCCTCATCAAGAAGGCCCAGCAGAGGATGTACTTCCTGCGGCAGCTCAGGAAAGCCAAGCTGCAGTTCTACACGGCCATCATCGAGTCCATCCTCACCTCCTCCATCACCTCCTCCATCACCTCCTCCAGCACCTCCTCATCACCTCCTCCAGCACCTCCTCCATCACCTCCTCTATCACCTCCTCCATCACCTCCTTCATCACCTCCTCCATCACCTCCTCTATCACCTCCTCCATCACCTCCTTCATCACCTCCTCCATCACCTCCTCCATCACCTCCTCATCACCTCCTCCTTTACCTCCTCCATCACCTCCTCCATCACCTCCTCCATCACCTCCTCCATCACCTCCTCCATCACCTCCTCCATCACCGTGTGGTTCGCTGGAGCCACAGTCAGGGACAAACAGAGACTACAGTGCATTGTGCGCTCTGCAGAGGAAGTGATCGGCCGCAGCCTTCCATCGCTGCAGGACCTGTACGTCGCCCGAGCTCGAGGCCGGGCTGGTCGTATCACAGCCGACCCCTCTCACCTGCACATGGACTATTCCAACCACTCCCCTCTCACCTGCACATGGACTATTCCAACCACTCCCCTCTCACCTGCACATGGACTATTCCAACCACTCCCCTCTCACCCTGCACATGGACTATTCCAACCACTCCCCTCTCACCTGCACATGGACTATTCCAACCACTCCCCTCTCACCCTGCACATGGACTATTCCAACCACTCCCCTCTCACCCTGCACATGGACTATTCCAACCACTCCCCTCTCACCTGCACATGGACTATTCCAACCACTCCCCTCTCACCTGCACATGGACTATTCCAACCACTCCCCTGCACATGGACTATTCCAACCACTCCCCTCTCACCTGCACATGGACTATTCCAACCACTCCCCTCTCACCTGCACATGGACTATTCCAACCACTCCCCTCAGGCAGGAGGCTGCGGTCCATCAGGACTAGAACCTCCCGCCACAAGAACAGTTTCTTCCCCTCTGCTGTTGGACTCTTGAACACTTCTTAACCTGTCCCCCGCCCTTTATAAAGTCACTTTACTGCCCATCATACGTCACTTTACTTCACTGTACTGCTGTCACCTTACATTGTGTGCACCATGTGCACTTGGATATTGTAAATAGTAACTGTAACTCTATTTTAAATTTACATTTATTCTTTAGAAGTATTTTTTATTCTTTATCTTTATCTCTTTCTGACTGTTGCACTGAGCCAAAGCAATTTCCAAGTCTGTGACTTCCTGTTACTTACGTGGCAATAAAAATGATTCTGATGTGTTTGATAACACTGGGTAACAAAAAAATATTGTTTGAAAATAGTCCAGGGTTTTCAGCTGAATCTGAAACTAATGTTGATGCTCTGAGTCTGAAAATGACCTTGGTTTTGCTCAATCAGGTAAGGATTTTTTGCTACAGAAATATTTTTTTTAATTGATTTTGCGTAAAAAACAAATTTCTGCTGCTGAGAAACCCTTGACGTTTTTTCCGTTTTCCTCAAGAAAATAATAAAATAATAACGTAGACGTACATAATCCGTAACACTATGGCTGTATCTCACAAAGTTGACCTGATAGAACAAAATGCATGTGATATTCAGACTCAGAACACCAACATTAGTCTGAATCAGTTGAGAAACCCCTGACCATTTTTTGGCTGTCAACTTGTGTAATAACAATAAGGTAAAAAGGGGGTTCTCAAGATGGCGGCGACGTGATGGTTTTGTCTACTCCCTGTCTGTATTCTAGAAATGTAAACTTCCCCGCTCAAATTCGCATCCATTCAAGCTAAAATCAACCCGTAACGCTTTTACAATGCCAAAGATCTCCAAAACGCCACGAAATGAGCCATCCCGTGACTCTCCGGAGGATTTTCCGGAGTTGGCCAGAGAAGCTAGCCTCGCTGCTAACACCACGGAGCTGGCTAACGAGACATTGCTACAACACATCTCTGAAACGATCGCGGCAGAGGCAAGGCGCTCTCAAACAGCCATGGATCAGTCAATCGCCAAGCTGGAGCTGTCCCATGATGGTAAAATGAACAATGTTATCAAGCGCATTGGGGGGGCGACAGTAGCTCAGTTGGTAGAGCAATGGTCTTTGGATCTAATGCTCATGGGTTCGATCCCACTACGACCCATGTCAACTGCTCCCACTGATGTCTGCTGTCGTTGTGTCCCTGGGCAAGACACTTAACCCCAATGTGCCTGAAGCAGGGCTGGACTGGGACAAAAAAACGGCCCGGGCATTTTTTCCTTCTTACCGGCCCAGGCATGTTTTTGTCACTTTTTTACAGTTTGTTTATACCAGGGATCGGCAACTCAAAAGGTTCAAAGAGCCATATTTGACCAAAAAACTAAAAACATCTGTCTGGAGCCGCAAAAAAATAACAGCCTTGTATAAAGCTTATATGAAGGTTACACAATGTAGCTACATTAGCTACATTAGCCTATTATCTAAATGACCAAGTAAAGGCTACAAATACATAATAAGCATTCATGATTATCAAATATGTGTTTTCACTGCAGCGTGTCCTGGAGAGAATGACGTACCACGTGATGACTCTGCTTTAACTTTGACTTCCATTTTTTTGCCTTCATGCAACTGTAGAAATACAGTAAATAAATCTGCTTTTTGGCTCAAAGGTCACACACCTGCACTGTTCGCTCATATCGATCACGTCACAGGCTGAAGTTTGCTGGAGCTGAATGTCCTTAATGGCCTTTTCTTTCACAGTCTTTGCGGAGGTTTTTGAAGTCTGAAAAAGCTCCGGATTTTGTATGAAAGAATCCTTCACGTAATCCCTGTGAACGGTATTTAGTGCTTCATTGTTCCTCGTGTTGCAACAAAACTTCCTATTACATCGCAAACATGAAGCAGTCCTTCCTCATTGACTGAAAGCAAATGTTCAGTCTTGTCCTTAGTCCAGTCTTATTATCGACTCGTTCTCTTTTTATCTTTGGGATCCGTGCGCACACGCCGGTTTGTTTACAGCGGCGGCCGTCTGCCGCGGGGCCGCGCCACAGGATATGACGCACTACGTTGACAGAAATGTTGAAATTGAATATTACTTATACACATTTTTACAGCATTGAAATACGTTAGGAATGTTTTTCCTCCTACAGAAACCACATTCAAACTAGAAATAAAATATAGCCCTCCCACTCCATTTTCAGACATTTTTGAAAAGGCTCCAGGAGCCACTGGAGGAGCACTAAAGGTTGCCGACCCCTGGTTTATACAGTATGTGGAAGCATACTGAGGATCAGGATGTCTGTGGTTTCAACAAAAAAATAAAGTGCAATAGTCTACATTACAAGAGAGTAATAAACATGTCTCAGAGTGAGGGAGGTGGACAAAGACAATACTATTGTTTGTTACAGGGATGATAATTGGTCAAAAAAGTCTGAAATGCATAATGTCAGCCATTAGCTGGCTCTAAATCTGTTTAATCTGTTCACAACATTTTACTTTTGGGCTCAAACATGAACTTTTAATGCAATGGAAAATTTAGGTACCCGGGCTTTAATTTAGTCGCACTTCAAGAGGAGAGGGGAGACGCGGACTTTTTCCTGCAGCGGTGTATTTATTGGGTGCACAAATTACGCAAAGACACGCATGGTCCTGTGCGCGTTTATGGGGTTGGGTTGCGGCTACGCGCTCACCGTGTTGTGTTGTGAGCGGTTCCCGGTGAGTGGTTCCCGCGTCCAGCTCAGAGCCGCTGGATGCGGGAACACTGGGGCCGCTGAGGTGGTGGAATCCCGTTCGAGTACATACAGCAGGTGCCCCGCGGACACGCGCTCTCCCCTCGAACAGTTCTCAACGGATTTACACTTTTCACAAACACTTTTTTTTTGTATGAGGCAAACAGACCGGCCCAAATATGGGCATCGGCCCTTCTGGCATTGCCCGGTACGCCCGATGGCCAGTCCAGCCCTGGCCTGAAGCCCCCGCTGAAAGACCAAGGCTGCATCTGTGTCGAAGGAGCAGCCATCTTCCCGTGGACCCACCACCTGCAGGAAGATCAGCAAGGGACTGGTGCTGTGTGAATTGGGTGGCAGTTCTGATTGCCACCCCCCTGACCCAGAAATGGAAAATAAAGGGATGTAAATGAAATTAAATGAAATGAATCAAGCGCATTGACGAAGTGGCGACTTTGTGTGACGCTATCGGGGTTCGCCAGGCGGAGGCTGAGAGCCGCATCTCCGCTCTGGAGGACGACATGGCGCCGCTGCAGCCTGATTAAGTCTAATTCAGAGCTAGCTTCGCAAGTTAGTTTCCGCGCTCCTTATGACAGTTATTCAACAGCAGAGAGCAAAACAGACACATATTTCAACAAACATGGGAGAGACACGGTACATGTGGAAAACATGCAGATCTTTTTAATGGGAAGTCATCACTCTGGCCCGCCTCGTCCAATACAGCGCGTCAGAGGGGAGTGTGGGTGGGGGAGGTGGAGGGGAAGACCACCATAGACTGAAAAGAGAGGGAGGCAGACATGTAGAGGGGGGGGGGGACTGTAACTGGTGTTCTGGGTTGTGAGTCTGAGTTAGATAGAGTCCAGTGTCGGCCTTGAGTGGCCGGTAGCAGTGGTGGTGGAATGTGAAGGACAAAGATAGTGCAGGTGCAAACATTGGAGACAAAACAACACATGCCTTGTGGGAAATGTGTATAAGCACTTTAGCTGATCAATGAAAGGCAGTGTAAACTAAAGCCAATATGTCCAAATTATACTGGAACTGGACCCTCCGTTCACCGTTATCCGGAGTTGACCACGTCAGTACGGGGTTCCACCGTGAGGCCCAAGTCCTTCAATCAATCCTTCCACGCGTTTAAGTCCATCCAAGGATCTCACTCTCAGGTCATTAAGGGAATGTTCGATCCGACTCAGACCCGTAGTGTCCCCACTGTGCCCTCGACCACGACTCTGACCAACTCGCGGAAACTCTCCTTGCTCGTAAATCTTCTGAGTGGACAACCCTCCAACTTTGCGGTAGATCAAGCCAACTCCAAATCCAATCAGGAGGAACCCTGCTACCATAAATCCAAAAATGTATATATCCTCAATGTCCTCGATGGACAGTCCCGACAGACAAACGGGGTGCCACTTTTGCCAGTTGTCAAAAACGTACCCAGCAGCCGCCGTACCATCCGGACAAACGGCATCTCCAGAACCGCCTTTACGTGATGAAAAAAATAGTATCAATTGCGTTGAGGGACCAGTTGATTAATTCCATAATTTTTCAAGTTGTACACAGGCAGAACTCTTAGACAGTCAGGGCAAGAGCAGGAGCAGGAGCAGGAGAAAGGAGAGACACGTCTGACCTCGAGGAGAGCAGGAGGAGAATGACGCATTTTGAACTTGAGGTAATCTGTGGAAGGGTCTAACCCCGTGTTATTTTTTGAAAAGTTTATCCTGAAACTTCTACAGTTATCCGTCTCTGACATCTCCATTGACCGTGCCCACCGCACATTTGGTCCAGCTGCTGATGGCCGCCCTCGCCCAGTCATCATCAAGTTTCATCGCTCGAGGGACGTCACTACGGTATTGTCTGCAGCTAAACGCTTGGGGGACCTGCAGTACGAGGATCGCCCTCTCTGCATAGTGCCTGACATCCCCCCGCGGTGCGACTCATCAGGAGAGGCTTCACCACGTCTGCACGGAGCTCATCAAGAGAAAAGTTAGATTCAGAATGGCTTTCCCTGCACTTTTGTCATTTGAAATCAACGGGACGAAGAAATCTTTCACAGAGCCCAAACGAGGGCTTTCCTCGGGGGCACAGTGACCAACGAGAGCAAATAGAGGCATCACTAAAAGATCGGAATGTGGTGGTGAATGTTCTAACTCTGGATCACTAAAAGATCAGAATGTGGTGGTGAATGTTCTAACTCTGGATCATTAAATGTAGGAGTTCTACATTCAAACTTACCACGTTGGACGATGACGTTATTTCTGATTTTTTAGAACCACCCATTTTCTTATTGTTTATTTAAAGGACAATTCACCCTCAAATCCACTTTTTTTTGCTGATAAACGGTATAAATGAGTGTCCAATAGTGTTGTCTACATATCCTGGTCATAATCTTGTCACTTTGGTGCAAATTAGTTGAAAGTTAAACTTTCTGCCTAAAACCGTCTGTGAGGCGCCATCTGCTGGCGACCTGTGTTACTACATTTGAATTTTGAATCTGGCGCCAACACTGGCGCGGCAGCAAGACCTGACGTCTGAAGCAAGACCTGACGTCTGAAGCAAGACCTGACGTCTGAAGCAAGACCTGACGTCTGAAGCAAGACCTGACGTCTGAAGCAAGACCTGACGTCTGAAGCAAGACCTGACGTCTGAAGCAAGACCTGACGTCTGAAGCAAGACCTGACGTCTGAAGCAAGACCTGACGTCTGAAGCAAGACCTGACGACTGAAGCAAGACCTGACGTATGAAGCAAGACCTGACGTCTGAAGCAAGACCTGACGTCTGAAGCAAGACCTGACGTCTGAAGCAAGACCTGACGTCTGAAGCAAGACCTGACGACTGAAGCAAGACCTGACGACTGAAGCAAGACCTGACGTCTGAAGCAAGACCTGACGTCTGAAGCAAGACCTGACGTCTGAAGCAAGACCTGACGTCTGAAGCAAGACCTGACGTCTGAAGCAAGACCTGACGTCTGAAGCAAGACCTGACGACTGAAGCAAGACCTGACGACTGAAGCAAGACCTGACGTCTGAAGCAAGACCTGACGTCTGAAGCAAGACCTGACGTCTGAAGCAAGACCTGACGTCTGAAGCAAGACCTGACGTCTGAAGCAAGACCTGACGTCTGAAGCAAGACCTGACGTCTGAAGCAAGACCTGACGTCTGAAGCAAGACCTGACGTCTGAAGCAAGACCTGACGTCTGAAGCAAGACCTGACGTCTGAAGCAAGACCTGACGTCTGAAGCAGGACCTGACGTCTGAAGCGAGACCTGACGTCTGAAGCGAGACCTGACGACTGAAGCGAGACCTGACGTCTGAAGCAAGACCTGACGTCTGAAGCAAGACCTGACGTCTGAAGCAAGACCTGACGACTGAAGCAAGACCTGACGACTGAAGCAAGACCTGACGTCTGAAGCAAGACCTGACGTCTGAAGCAAGACCTGACGTCTGAAGCAAGACCTGACCACTTGAGAACCACTTTAAGGACACACGTGAATGTAAGACAGACAGGGAGGGACACTTTAGCAGCCTAGCTATGGGGGCGTTTTGTTTTTCTCTATTCCATAGTGTTTGATAAGGCTGAGTCTCGTCTTCTGTTTGTATTTTTGTAATGTTCTATTTTTTCCTGTTCAGGTTGTTTTTGTGTGTCCAGGTCCAGGGCAGTGCTTTTGTGGTGTATAATCTGTGCTCATGTGTTTTTTATTCTTCAAGTAAATGTCAAATACTACTAACACTGAATGAGGGGGGTAAAAAGAGTGGCGATTTTAAATTATTTTCGTAGTCATGGCATTCAGATTGCGATGCTTCAAGAAACCCAATTGGTGAAATCTGAGATAAACCGATTAACAAATACATTTTATAAGGTCATAGCACTTTCCTCTTTCTTCAATAGATCCAAGGGTGAAGCTATCATCTGCCGTGGAAACCTACAGTTTAGATTTTTGGATTGTTGGTCTGATGATAAGGGAAGAATTGCCATAGCAAAGTTGTATATTGAAAGGACAAATTTGGCTTTCATCTCTGTATATGCACCTAACACTTATGATAAAGAATTTTTTGATTGTTTAACCAAAATAATGCTTGAATTACCAAACTTCAAATTTGTGGTAGCTGGAGATTTTAACTCGGTAGCAGATTTTTCTCTTGACCGAACAGGCCTTTCCCAAAATCTAGATCAGAAGCGTGCTTCAGAGGCACTTAAGCAGTGGTACACTGATACTGGGTTGGTGGATCTCTGGTGCACTGAGACTGGGTTGGTGGATCTCTGGTGCACTGATACTGGGTTGGTGGATCTCTGGTGCACTGATACTGGGTTGGTGGATCTCTGGTGCACTGATACTGGGTTGGTGGATCTCTGGTGCACTGATACTGGGTTGGTGGATCTCTGGTGCACTGATACTGGGTTGGTGGATCTCTGGTGCACTGAGACTGGGTTGGTGGATCTCTGGTACACTAAGACTGGGTTGGTGGATCTCTGGTACACTGAGACTGGGTTGGTGGATCTCTGGTACACTGAGACTGGGTTGGTGGATCTCTGGTGCACTGAGACTGGGTTGGTGGATCTCTGGTGCACTGAGACTGGGTTGGTGGATCTCTGGTGCACTGAGACTGGGTTGGTGGATCTCTGGTGCACTGAGACTGGGTTGGTGGATCTCTGGTGCACTGATACTGGGTTGGTGGATCTCTGGTGCACTGATACTGGGTTGGTGGATCTCTGGTGCACTGATACTGGGTTGGTGGATCTCTGGTGCACTGAGACTGGGTTGGTGGATCTCTAGTGCACTGATGAATCCTGGCACTAGAGATTATACTCATAGGTCGGCTAGACATAAATCATTCTCTAGAATTGATTATTTATTGACTTCTACGAGCTGCTTTGAAAACATTTCCGCTGTTTTTCACAGCCCAATCTCTCCGACCCTAGGGCTGTGATTGCGAGTGTCACTTTAACGTCATATCCTTCACGTGCTCCACACTGGCGCTTAATACTACTTTACTGCAAAGGTTTTAGACAAACAGGCAAACAGTTTAGAGCTGAACTGAAAGAGTCTGTGGCTCTAAATAAAGGCAGATTATAGTGTTAACTCTGTCTTTTCTTCCTTTTATTCTAAGTTGAATAGTTCTGAGGTACTGCATGATGATCAAACATGTAATAACTTTCTTGAAAACGCCAAATTACCAAGATTAAGTGATGAAGACCTGCGTAAACTCAACCAACCTATTACATTAATGGAGCTAAAAGAGGCTGTGTCAGATATGCGTAAAGGAAAGTCCCCTGGCTTTGATGGTATTCCACCAGAGCTGTACTTGGGACCATGTACTTGGGACCATGTTGGACCTTTGATGTTTGATATGGTTCAGGCTGCTTTACAAGTTGGATCCTTTTCAAGAGATTAAACACTGCCCTAATATCATTTTTATAAAAAAAAAAGACAAGGACCCACAGGAATGCTCTAGTTATAGGCCCATGTCTCTTCTCAACTGTGATTGGAAGATTTTCGCTAAAGTGTTGCCCGTAGGCTCCAACCTTTTATGACCAAAACCGAACGTCTAATGAGATCACTGGGCCTTTGTACTTCGGCCTCTAGAAGATCGGTATGACACTTCTTGGATGTATCTTGGCGGCCAATAGATGAATCTCTTGCTCATCCTCTGAACCTACCTGAAATATCATTTGCAAATGTTCCCACTGATAAGTGTTTTGGTCCTCTCTCATCACTGTTTGGAATAACAAGGAAGTGGAATTTACATTCTCCAGTTTTTAATAATGAATCTATTCTTATTAACAAATGTCCTGTAAAGCGAACGCAATATAAACACTGATAAGAGAATACACTCTGTGGGTGATTTGTTCGACATTTGAAGATCTCTGCAGCCGGTTCAATATACATCGTTCCTCATTCTTTCTTTGTCTACAGTTACCATGGCAATCTTCTCTTCATGTTCCTGCTGTAGAGGAGACAAACACTGTCATCAGAGTGAGGGAGGGGCAGCATCCTGCTGTAGAGGAGACTAACACTGTCATCAGAGTGAGGGAGGAGCAGCATCCTGCTGTAGAGGAGACTAACACTGTCATCAGAGTGAGGGAGGGGCAGCATCCTGCTGTAGAGGAGACTAACACTGTCATCAGACTGAGGGAGGGCAGCATCCTGCTGTAGAGGAGACTAACACTGTCATCAGAGTGAGGGAGGGGCAGCATCCTGCTTTAGAGGAGACTAACACTGTCATCAGAGTGAGGGAGGGCAGCATCCTGCTGTAGAGGAGACTAACACTGTCATCAGAGTGAGGGAGGGGCAGCATCCTGCTGTAGAGGAGACTAACACTGTCATCAGAGTGAGGGAGGGGCAGCATCCTGCTGTAGAGGAGACTAACACTGTCATCAGAGTGAGGGAGGGGCAGCATCCTGCTGTAGAGGAGACTAACACTGTCATCAGAGTGAGGGAGGGCAGCATCCTGCTGTAGAGGAGACTAACACTGTCATCAGAGTGAGGGAGGGGCAGCATCCTGCTGTAGAGGAGACTAACACTGTCATCAGAGTGAGGGAGGGGCAGCATCCTGCTGTAGAGGAGACTAACACTGTCATCAGAGTGAGGGAGGGGCAGCATCCTGCTGTAGAGGAGACTAACACTGTCATCAGAGTGAGGGAGGGGCAGCATCCTGCTGTAGAGGAGACTAACACTGTCATCAGAGTGAGGGAGGGGCAGCATCCTGCTGTAGAGGAGACTAACACTGTCATCAGAGTGAGGGAGGGGCAGCATCCTGCTGTAGAGGAGACTAACACTGTCATCAGAGTGAGGGAGGGGCAGCATCCTGCTGTAGAGGAGACTAACACTGTCATCAGAGTGAGGGAGGGGCAGCATCCTGCTGTAGAGGAGACTAACACTGTCATCAGAGTGAGGGAGGGGCAGCATCCTGCTGTAGAGGAGACTAACACTGTCATCAGAGTGAGGGAGGGGCAGCATCCTGCTGTAGAGGAGACTAACACTGTCATCAGAGTGAGGGAGGGGCAGCATCCTGCTGTAGAGGAGACTAACACTGTCATCAGAGTGAGGGAGGGGCAGCATCCTGCTGTAGAGGAGACTAACACTGTCATCAGAGTGAGGGAGGGGCAGCATCCTGCTTTAGAGGAGACTAACACAGTCTCTGTGTTCTCAGTATTTCATGTTAGGAGCAAACTGAAGGAAAATTACGCGGCACAGGGAGAACACACAAACTCCTCTCATTGAGGGGCGTGGTCACATGAGGCCTGATCAGAGGGGCGTGGTCAGAACTCCTCGCTGCTGCCTCGTGTGGTCACAGTGGGAAGGGCGAGACTGCGGTCGGCCATTTTAGAAGTCTGTAATCAACAAAACATCTGGAACAAGACCAGGACTGGACCTCGACTGGACCAGGATTGGGTCCAGACCATTTGTAAACACTCAGGTGTGACTCCAAAGGGAATCTGCTGAATCAGGAAGTTCTGTCCTTAAAGCTGAGATCTGTAACTTTAGTCTGGTCTCTGTATATTTATGTTCTGAGTTTTTCTGCTGAATCCATTAGTTGTTCTGAGGTTGAGTGGCTCTTTCATATCTTTCATTACTGAATATAACAGGACCAAGGAAATTACAGCAGACACACACACACAGAGACACATACACACACAGAGACACATACACACATACACACACATGGACACATACACACAGAGACACATACACGGACACATACACACACATAGACACATACACACACAGAGACACATACACACACATACTGGAGCTGCAATAATATCCTTTTTTTTTTACCGGACACCGCTGTGATTCATGAGTTTGAGGAGTGTGTCCCAAACTGAGGTTGGAGGATGTGGAGGAGAGAACAGGAGGACAGGCCAGAGAAGGAGAGGACAAAGGAGGACAGAAGACAGAGGAGGATGAGAGAGGACAGAGGAGGAGAGAGGACAGAGGAGGAGGAGAAAGGACAGAGGAGGCCAGAGGAGAGAGGACAGAAGACAGAGGAGGAGGAGAGAGGACAGAGGAGGAGGAGGAGAGAGATGACAAAGGAGGAGGAGAGAGGACAGAGGAGGCCAGAGGAGAGAGGACAGAAGACAGAGGAGGAGGAGAGAGGACAGAGGAGGAGGAGAAAGGACAGAGGAGGCCAGAGGAGAGAGGACAGAAGACAGAGGAGGAGGAGAGAGGACAGAGGAGGAGGAGGAGAGAGATGACAGAGGAGGAGGAGAGAGGACAGAGGAGGCCAGAGGAGAGAGGACAGAAGACAGAGGAGGAGGAGAGAGGACAGAGGAGGAGGAGGAGCGAGAGGACAGAGGAGGAGGAGAGAGGACAGAGGAGGACAGATGAGGAGGAGGACAGAGGAGGAGAGAGGACAGAGGAGGACAGATGAGGAGGAGGACAGAGGAGGAGGAGAGAGGACGGAGGAGGAGGACAGAGGACAGATGAGGAGGAGGAGAACAGAGGAGGAGGAGAGAGGACAGAGGAGGACAGATGAGGAGGACAGAGGAGGAGGAGAGAGGACAGAGGAGGACAGATGAGGAGGAGGAGAACAGAGGAGGAGGAGAGAGGACAGAGGAGGACAGATGAGGAGGACAGAGGAGGAGGAGAGAGGACAGAGGAGGAGAACAGAGGAGGAGGAGAGAGGACAGAGGAGGACAGATGAGGAGGACAGAGGAGGAGGAGAGAGGACAGAGGAGGAGGAGAGAGGACAGAGGAGGACAGATGAGGAGAGAGGACAGAGGAGGACAGATGAGGAGGAGAGAGGACACAGACACAGAATCACAGTTTTATTGTGAAGTAAAATTGAACAGAAACATCAACAGTTTATCAGAAACACTGACGGTGAACACTTCTTCGCAAAGATAATCCATCCCAATGATATCACCTCCTCTCTCCTCCTGCAGCTCCTGTATGTCCTGTCACCTCCTCTCTCCTCCTGCAGCTCCTGTATGTCCTGTCACCTCCTCTCTCCTCCTGCAGTTCCTGTATGTCCTGTCACCTCCTCTCTCCTCCTGCAGCTCCTGTATGTCCTGTCACCTCCTCTCTCCTCCTGCAGCTCCTGTATGTCCTGTCACCTCCTCTCTCCTCCTGCAGCTCCTGTATGTCCTGTCACCTCCTCTCTCCTCCTGCAGCTCCTGTATGTCCTGTCACCTCCTCTCTCCTCCTGCAGTTCCTGTATGTCCTGTCACCTCCTCTCTCCTCCTGCAGCTCCTGTATGTCCTGTCACCTCCTCTCTCCTCCTGCAGCTCCTGTATGTCCTGTCACCTCCTCTCTCCTCCTGCAGCTCCTGTCACCTCCTCTCTCCTCCTGCAGTTCCTGTATGTCCTGTCACCTCCTCTCTCCTCCTGCAGCTCCTGTATGTCCTGTCACCTCCTCTCTCCTCCTGCAGCTCCTGTATGTCCTGTCACCTCCTCTCTCCTCCTCGGACTCTCTCCTGCAGCTCCTGTATGTCCTGTGTTGTCAGCTCCCTGGTCTCCTTCAGCAGCACCTCCTTCCTCCTCCGGTCGACCCTCAGGGCCATGATGAGACTCATGTCGACCAGCCCCTCCTGGCACCTCCTCATGCCGGCCTCCAGACGCTTCCTCTGGGCTGGGTCCCTCCTCATCTGGACCTTCTCCTCCACGCTGAAGCCCAGAAGGCCCTGCAGCACCTGATCCGAGACCGTCACGTCCAAGAACCCGGTCCCATCAGAGACCCGCGCCTCCACCTGCCACCTCCTCCCTCTGCTCCTCAGTCTGCTCAGCAGAGTCACCAGGAAGGCCTTCACCTGGACCTCCACAGGGTCCTGCTCCTCCGGGAGGAGCTCCAGCAGACAGATGTACGTGAAGGGGGAGGAGCTGAGGTCCAGAGCGGAGGTGGGGGCCTCTGGGGGGGGTATGGGGGCCTCTAGGAGGGAGGTGGGGGCCTGGACCACAGAGACTTCCATCTCTCCAATGAAGACCAGGTCTTCCTCCATGAAGTCATTGTCGCTGTGTGGGTCCTGGTCTGGATCCTGAGCCAGGACGTTGTAGTCCAGTTCATCCAGTGGAAGATCGTCAAAGTCTTCATCGAAGTCCTGGGCGTCCACATCCTGGAGGCTCGGCCTATCACAGTCACACATGAGTTTACACATAAGGTCTCTCTCGCTGGTCTCTCTCACTCTGGTCTCTCACTCTGGTCTCTCTCTCTCTGGTCTCTCACTCTGGTCTCTCACTCTGGTCTCTCTCTGGTCTCTCTCTGGTCTCTCTCTGGTCTCTCTCTGGTCTCTCTCTGGTCTCTTTCTGGTCTCTCTCTGGTCTCTCTCTGGTCTCTCTCTGGTCTCTCTCTGGTCTCTCTCTGGTCTCTCACTCTGGTCTCTCACTCTGGTCTCTCTCTCTGGTCTCTCTCTCTGGTCTCTCACTCTGGTCTCTCACTCTGGTCTCTCACTCTGGTCTCTCACTCTGGTCTCTCACTCTGGTCTCTCACTCTGGTCTCTCACTCTGGTCTCTCACTCTGGTCTCTCACTCTGGTCTCTCTCTCTCTGGTCTCTCTTTCTGGTCTCTTGACTAAACATTAGTCTTCTATTCTAAGTGTAGCCACTCACCTGCAGGCAGCCGGGGGGAGGGAGCGTTCTGCAGCAGACCCCAGATCCGTGTGGTCCCAGAGTGAGGGGCTGACCGAGCCCTCATCCAGGCCTCCATCCAGGCCTCCATCCAGGCCTCCATCCAGGCCCTCATCCAGGCCTCCATCCAGGCCCTCATCCAGGCCTCCATCCAGGCCCTCATCCAGGCCTCCATCCAGGCCTCCATCCAGGCCTCCATCCAGGCCTCCATCCAGGCCTCCATCCAGGCCCTCATCCAGGCCTCCATCCAGGCCCTCATCCAGGCCTCCATCCAGGCCTCCATCCAGGCCTCCATCCAGGCCTCCATCCAGGCCTCCATCCAGGCCTCCATCCAGGCCTCCATCCAGGCCTCCATCCAGGCCTCCATCCAGGCCTCCATCCAGGCCTCCATCCAGGCCTCCATCCACAGCCTCATGTTGGGGTCTGTTCTCTGTTCGCTCTGAAACCAAGAGGATTCACAGTTGAACTCTGACACAGGTGTGACACAGGTGTTATACAGGTGTGACAGAGGTGTGACACAGGTGTGACAGAGGTGTTATACAGGTGTGACAGAGGTGTGACACAGGTGTGACAGAGGTGTGACACAGGTGTGACAGAGGTGTTATACAGGTGTGACAGAGGTGTGACACAGGTGCGACAGAGGTGTGACACAGGTGTTATACAGGTGCGACACAGGTGTTATACAGGTGTGACAGAGGTGTTATACAGGTGTGACAGAGGTGTGACACAGGTGCGACAGAGGTGTGACACAGGTGCGACACAGGTGTGACACAGGTGTTATACAGGTGCGACACAGGTGTTATACAGGTGTGACAGAGGTGTGACACAGGTGCGACAGAGGTGTGACACAGGTGCGACAGAGGTGTGACACAGGTGTGACAGAGGTGTGACAGAGGTGTGACACAGGTGTGACAGAGGTGTGACACAGGTGTGACAGAGGTGTTATACAGGTGTGACACAGGTGTGACACAGGTGTGACAGAGGTGTGACACAGGTGTGACAGAGGTGTTATACAGGTGTTATACAGGTGTTGACAGAGGTGTGACACAGGTGTGACAGAGGTGTTATACAGGTGTGACAGAGGTGTTATACAGGTGTGACACAGGTGTGACAGAGGTGTTACACAGGTGTGACAGAGGTGTGACACAGGTGTGACAGAGGTGTTATACAGGTGTGACAGAGGTGTGACACATGTGCGACAGAGGTGCGACACAGGTGTGACACAGGTGTTATACAGGTGCGACACAGGTGTTATACAGGTGTGACAGAGGTGTGACACAGGTGCGACAGAGGTGTGACACAGGTGTGACACAGGTGTGACAGAGGTGTGACACAGGTGCGACACAGGTGCGACAGAGGTGTTATACAGGTGTGACACAGGTGTGACAGAGGTGCGACACAGGTGCGACAGAGGTGCGACACAGGTGCGACAGAGGTGTTATACAGGTGTGACACAGGTGTGACAGAGGTGTGACACAGGTTTGACACAGGTGTGACACAGGTGTGACACAGGTGTGACACAGGTTTGACACAGGTGTGACACAGGTTTGACAGAGGTGTGACACAGGTGTTATACAGAGGTGTGACACAGGTTTGACACAGGTGTGACACAGGTGTTATACAGGTGTGACACAGGTGTTATACAGGTGTACAGGTGTGACACAGGTGTTATACAGGTGTGACACAGGTGTTATACACAAGTGTGTGACACAGGTGTTATACAGGTTTGACACAGGTGTTATACAGGTTTGACACAGGTGTTATACAGAGGTGTGACACAGGTGTTATACAGGTTTGACAGAGGTGTGACACAGGTTTGACAGAGGTGTGACACAGGTGTTATACAGGTTTGACAGAGTGTGACACAGGTGTGACAGAGGTGTGACGTGTGACAGAGGTGTGACAGAGGTGTGACACAGGTGTGACAGAGGTGTGACACAGGTTGACAGAGGTGTGACACAGGTTTGACAGAGGTGTGACACAGGTGTGACAGAGGTGTGACACAGGTGTGACAGAGGTGTGACACAGGTTTGACAGAGGTGTGACAGAGGTGTGACAGAGGTGTTATACAGGTGTGACACAAGTTTGACAGAGGTGTGACACAGGTGTGACACAGGTGTGACAGAGGTGTTATGCAGGTGTGACACAGGTGTTATGCAGGTGTGACACAGGTGTTATACAGGTTTGACAGAGGTGTGACACAGGTGTGACACAGGTTTGACAGAGTGTGACGAGGTGTTATACAGTGTGACAAGGTGTTATGCAGGTGTGACACAGGTGTTTATGACAGGTGTTGTGACAGAGGTGTTATACAGGTGTGACAGAGGTGTTATACAGGTGTGACAGAGGTGTTATACAGGTGTGACAGAGGTGTTATACAGGTGTGACAGAGGTGTTATACAGGTGTGACAGAGGTGTTATACAGGTGTGACAGAGGTGTTATACAGGTGTGACAGAGGTGTTATACAGGTGGACAGAGGTGTTATACAGTGTGTGTAACAGAGGTGTTATACAGGTGTGACAGAGGTGTTATACAGGTGTGACAGAGGTGTTATACAGGTGTGACAGAGGTGTTTATACAGGTAGAGGTGTTATACAGTGTGACAGAGGTGTTATACAGGTGTGACAGAGGTGTTATACAGGTGTGAGAGGTGTTATACAGTGTGACACAGGTGTGACAGAGGTGTTATACAGGTGTGACAGAGGTGTTATACAGGTGTGACAGAGGTGTTATACAGTTATACAGGTGTTGACAGAGTGCAAGGTGTTTACAGGTGTGACAGAGGTGTTTATACAGGTGTGACAGAGGTGTTATACAGGTGTGACAGAGGTGTTATACAGGTGTGACAGAGGTGTTATACAGGTGTGACAGAGGTGTTATACAGGTGTGACACAGGTGTGACAGAGGTGTTATACTGTGTGACAGAGGTGTTATACAGGTGTGACAGAGGTGTTATACAGGTGTGACAGAGGTGTTATACTGTATGACAGAGGTGTTATACTTTATGACAGAGGTGTTATACAGGTGTATGACAAGTGTTATACTGTGTGACAGAGGTGTTATACTGTATGACAGAGGTGTGACATGACAGAGGTGTTATACTGTATGACAGAGGTGTTATACTGTATGAGGTGTTATACTGTATGACAGAGGTGTTATACTGTATGTGGAATTACCTTGTGTGCCACAGGAAGGCATTATGGTTAAGGAGTTTGTTGGGTCCTCAGTGGGAGGTGCTTTATACTGACACTTTAAACAATCAATAAAAAAACAATGTCCAAACTAACATTAATACTAACTCTTCAAACAAATAAATACAGTCAAAGAATAATGTCTGAGCCCGAGTAGTAACATTAAAACATTAAAAACGTGTTCCAAAAGGGACAAGGATTTTGTAGGTCATCCAGATCACTATCGGGATCCAGCAATTCTATAAATCAATGGAACTGTGCCTCTTGGCAGAAGTCAGTGCTCTACAAGTGCTATTTCAACATTTGGTCTTTGAAGTGATTGCCAGTTGCCCAGACCCGCCCATGCTCACCCTGAGCTTCCTGATTGGATGAAATTAATTCAAATCATTGGTTGAACTATTGGCTAGCAGATCACTGGATGATAAAACTTATTTAAAGTTACCAAAAATACAGTAAGTGTGGTTATTATGGTGCAATGTACGGCTATTTTTAATCAATAAAATACATATTCAATACATGTTTTGAACGCACCATTGAGTTATTGTGGATCGATATGTTCAAGCTTAGATTTGCCACTAAGTTTTTTTCATTATTATTAATTCATGTCAAGACCTTTTCATGCCTCATCCTTAGAAGAGACATAACCTAATTGCTTTATACTCTTTTCAACACACAACAAAGAACATATTACAACCATTGGACACATTTTCAAAGATTTCAAACTAAAGCAAACCTTTGACAGATGGATTGGAGTTTTGTTGTAACAATATCCTCGTCTCACAAGTAACTTTGGAAGAGCTCATCACTTACTGCACGCAGCCTGGTGATTGTTAATGACGGCAGAATGCTTGTGCCGATATGCTAAATTGACTTATTCCCTCAACCCATTCTCAGAAGTCTTTCATTCAACCGCTGCATTGTATGTATTTTCCCAACACAAAGAGAATTGATAATCCCGACATTAATATTCATCACCCGGGCCTGTAGCGGATGAATGCGGGACTGACAGGGGCACAAGAAAGGACGGAAAAAAAGCTTTGATTATTGATTCAGCAATGAGAGAGCGTATGGCCATGAAGAGAATTGTGTTCTGTGTGTCTCTAATGCAAAAAAAAGCTCCAGCTCCAGCCCCAGCCCCAGCCCCAGCCCCAGCCCCAGCTCCAGCTCCAGCCCCAGCCCCAGCCCCAGCCCCAGCTCCAGCTCCAGCTCCAGCTCCAGCTCCAGCCCCAGCCCCAGCCCCAGCTCCAGCCCCAGCCCCAGCCCCAGCCCCAGCCCCAGCCCCAGCCCCAGCCCCAGCCCCAGCTCCAGCTCCAGCCCCAGCCCCAGCTCCAGCCCCAGCCCCAGCTCCAGCCCCAGCCCCAGCTCCAGCTCCAGCTCCAGCTCCAGCTCCAGCTCCAGCTCCAGCTCCAGCTCCAGCCCCAGCCCCAGCCCCAGCTCCAGCTCCAGCTCCAGCTCCAGCTCCAGCCCCAGCCCCAGCCCCAGCTCCAGCCCCAGCCCCAGCCCCAGCCCCAGCTCCAGCCCCAGCTCCAGCCCCAGCCCCAGCCCCAGCCCCAGCCCCAGCTCCAGCTCCAGCCCCAGCCCCAGCCCCAGCCCCAGCTCCAGCCCCAGCTCCAGCTCCAGCTCCAGCTCCAGCCCCAGCCCCAGCTCCAGCCCCAGCCCCAGCCCCAGCTCCAGCCCCAGCCCCAGCCCCAGCCCCAGCCCCAGCCCCAGCTCCAGCTCCAGCCCCAGCTCCAGCCCCAGCCCCAGCCCCAGCTCCAGCCCCAGCTCCAGCCCCAGCCCCAGCCCCAGCCCCAGCCCCAGCTCCAGCTCCAGCCCCAGCTCCAGCCCCAGCCCCAGCCCCAGCTCCAGCCCCAGCCCCAGCTCCAGCTCCAGCCCCAGCTCTCAGTGCACCACAAAGAAATGTACTTTATCAATTATTGGGGTGAAATAACTATTGCTGTTTATTTTATTTTTTTGCATCAACAAGGTGATGATGATGATGATGATGATGATGATGATAGTAAAAATCAGGAATGTCAAGTGTAAATGTCAGTCTTTTTGGCTTAAATGAAGTAACGATAATGGGGAAGGCACTTATGAGCTTTTGTTTCTGCTTTCTACTTTTGAGCTTTGTACTTTTTACTTTGTAAAACTGCTCGAATGAAACTACTAATACCACAACAGTTTCTTTAAGAAGAATATTATTCCCTTTGTGGTACTTCCTGTTAAACCACACCACACATAAACCAGGATTTTTGATTTTGTTTACATGATCCTGCCTTCCAATAGTTTGATACTGTTTTATCTGTTCAATTATTAGTTCATGTTGTGCTAATCTAAATAGAATATCAGAACATCAAGACAAATACATGTTAAATCGTTGTTGGATCATGTGTCTGTGTGTGCACTCCATCGACCTGTGTGGAGTTACTGCAAAAAGCTGTTTGACAGAATTCCCAGCCAGTCCGAGCAGAAATTGGGATTGCTGCTGTGAGCGCCCGGAGATGTTAGCTTTCCTGTTCCGCCGTCGTCCGGATGTTTGATTTGTGTTCATCTTAAATCGAAGAGTGCTCTGTGATATTTGCCCTGCTGTTTTCTCCCTTTCAGCCCAGCTACAGAGCCACAGATCAAGGCCTGTGCTGCAGGTCGTTACATCAGCTTTATATGGTCTTTCCCATACGTCCATATGGCCTGCTGCAGCTTTCTCTTTCAACATCAACACATAGAAAGAATAAATAATAAACTGATTAGAGATTATATAAATAATATGGGTTTCTCCATTTCTCCAATGTGAGATCAAGTTTATCTTATCCTCCCCCTCCTCCTCCCCCTCCTCCTCCTCGTCCCCCTCCTCCCCCTCCTCCTCCTCCTCCTCCTCCTCCTCCTCCTCCTCCTCCTCCTCCTCCCCCCCCCTCCCCCTCCTCCCCCTCCTCCTCGTCCTCCTCCTCCCCCTCCTCCTCGTCCCCCTCCTCCTCCTCCCCCTCGTCGCCCTCCTCCCCCTCCTCCTCCTCCTCCTCCCCCCCTCCTCCTCGTCCCCCTCCTCCCTCCTCCCCCTCGTCCCCCTCCTCCCCCTCCCCCTCCCCCTCCTCCCCCTCCCCCTCCTCCTCCCCCTCCTCCTCCTCCCCCTCGTCGCCCTCCTCCCCCTCCTCCTCCTCCTCCTCCCCCCCTCCTCCTCGTCCCCCTCCCTCCCCCTCCCCCTCCTCCTCCTCCCCCTCCTCCTCCTCCCCCTCGTCCCCCTCCTCCCCCTCCCCCTCCCCCTCCTCCCCCTCCCCCTCCTCCTCCCCCCCTCCTCCTCCCCCCCTCCTCCTCCCCCTCCTCCCCCTCGTCCCCCCCGTCCCCCCCCCCTCCTCCTGCGGTCTCCTCTTCACCGTGACGGGCTGATTATGGCGTGAGTGACTCTTGAGCCAGTGAGACTGCCCTGACGGACTGATGGCTGCACTCAGACCACATCGAGCATTTGAGGACGGTGGAGAAACAGCTCAGATCCAGACGATGTTGGCTCATTATCTGACGTGATTTAGAAAAATAAATTTGTAATCAGTCAGAAATGTCTTCGTACCAGTGATTTTCTAGGTCAGTGTGTACGGTGGTATCACAGGGTTTTGAAATTAATGACATGTATTAAATAATAAGCAGCAACAACAATCTTAAATGGGCTACTGTGATTATCATGCAAATTAAATATACAAAAAATACATAAAAAAATCCAGGCTCTGGATTTAGGAACCAGACAGTCCCCACTGACCGAGGCTCTGGACTTAGGAACCAGACAGTCCCCTCTGACCGAGGCTCTGGACTTAGGAACCAGACAGTCCCCACTGACCCAGGCTCTGGACTTAGGAACCAGACAGTCCCCACTGACCCAGGCTCTGGACTTAGGAACCAGACAGTCCCCACTGACCCAGGCTCTGGACTTAGGAACCAGACAGTCCCCACTGACCGAGGCTCTGGACTTAGGAACCAGACAGTCCCCACTGACCGAGGCTCTGGACTTAGGAACCAGACAGTCCCCACTGACCGAGGCTCTGGACTTAGGAACCAGACAGTCCCCACTGACCGAGGCTCTGGACTTAGGAACCAGACAGTCCCCTCTGACCGAGGCTCTGGACTTAGGAACCAGACAGTCCCCACTGACCCAGGCTCTGGACTTAGGAACCAGACAGTCCCCACTGACCCAGGCTCTGGACTTAGGAACCAGACAGTCCCCACTGACCGAGGCTCTGGACTTAGGAACCAGACAGTCCCCACTGACCGAGGCTCTGGACTTAGGAACCAGACAGTCCCCACTGACCGAGGCTCTGGACTGAGGAACCAGTTAAACATTTAAAAAAACATAAATAGATAGAAATAATCTCTTGAGAAAACAGCCACATTGTCAACATGAGTCTGCAACAACAGACATTTCTTACTTTTGGTCCAGTTACGGTTCAGTCCAAGTCCATTTTCATTTTGGCAGAAAAACAAAATAGATTGAAAAATAGAGCTTGACCAAAAATGTTAATAATATGGTAACACATGCAGGTGTATAATGTACATGGTTCAGGTGCACATAACCAGGAGGAGCATTACTATTTGACACACAAACCGGGAAACATGTTAAAAATAAGACCTGATATCGTCGCCTCCCTGTGGCCGCACCGTTCCTAAAACACATCAAAAGGTCCATTTTTTCCCACCTCTCTAATCAGCCACTCACCCTGCACCTTCATCTGCATTTGCTTCGCTTGAATCCTTAAAGATTATCTACCTGCCCTTGATTGATGAATGCAGTGCCGGAGTCAACGAGAATATTAGCCGGATTATTGCTGGTGATTGATAGCCGTTACTCCACATAAATTATTAGGCGCTGGCTCGGAAAAAAAAGATATGGCGCCCAAATTAGACGGAGGACTCATTCACGATTACATCCAAGAAGACGAGAAGGGGCATTGATGTGTGTTGGAGAGAGTTTAATTCCGTTTGGTTTCTCACACCCACAACAGGGCCGGGAATACAGCCCTGTAATCTTTCTCTGAGCAGCCGCATGGAAATGTGTATTGAGTAGTCTGTCTTTCAGCCCTTAGATCTCCATTGAATCCTCTGGTGTGGTTTAAGCGGCTAAAACGGTTTTGTGAGCATGCATCGGCACGTTCTGAGCAGACGGAGAATTGTGCCAACGAAGGAAAAGTCAGGCCATACTGTACACTTGAGCGTTTGGGATTTTAAATACTGAATTCAGACTCTAGGTCCAATTTTTATGTTAAAATTATCTCCTGAATCCATGACGCTTTATACACAGGGAGCGAACTTCCCACAAACATATGCCAATTTTTCTTGTATATTTTTATTTTGTTTATTTCTTAGAGAAGTTAAATATGTCCAACTTATCTACCTCTAAGTATCAGAGCTTATCCTAATGCCTATTTCATAACCCTTTTTTTGTGCTCTGCCGCCCAAAGGGTTAAACACCCGCCTCATTTTGGCTCGTGCACAAAAGTTGGGCCTTCCCAAATGTCTTTTTTTATTTAAAAACACATCTTACATTTCACATGCTTGTGTGATGCATCATTTTAAAGCTAGAGCCTTCTAGTTTATGTAAATATACACTAAAATAATTATTGTCATTCCTATTTCACTCTGCATCTTTTGAAGTTTGGGAAAAAAACATTTTTTTTTAGCCTCGCTAAACAACAACTGTTTAAAGTTTCAGACTTCTAAGTTTTAGAGTGTTTATGCAGTTTCTCCTTTTTATCAAGTAGTGCCATTGGCTTTACTGACATTTCCTCATCATAAAAACCATATTTTTTTATTTTTGATACTTATAAGTTAATAATCTATGTGATTTTTTAAAACATTTTTTCAAAGTTAATTTTTTATGAGTGTAAAATCATTGCTGCTCCGTCAGCGCCCGTCTCCAGGCCATTACGCCATCCAAGATGGCGCCCTATTCAAATGAATGGTTGTGCTCAGTGGCGCTTTGTGACGGCATGGGGGCTGAAAGATTAGCGGAAGTCGCCTGAAACTCTCAAAGATCTATGGGAAACTCTCAAAGATCTATGGGAAACTCTAAAAGATCTATGGGAAACTCTCAAAGATCTATGGGAAACTCTCAAAGATCTATGGGAAACTCTCAAAGGTCTATGGGAAACTCTCAAAGATCTATGGGAAACTCTCAAAGATCTATGGGAAACTCTCAAAGATCTATGGGAAACTCTCAAAGATCTATGGGAAACTCTCAAAGATCTATGGGAAACTCTCAAAGATCTATGGGAAACTCTCAAAGATCTATGGGAAACTCTCAAAGATCTATGGGAAACTCTCAAAGATCTATGGGAAACTCTCAAAGATCTATGGGAAACTCTCAAAGATCTATGGGAAACTCTCAAAGATCTATGGGAAACTCTCAAAGATCTATGGGAAACTCTCAAAGATCTATGGGAAACTCTCAAAGATCTATGGGAAACTCTCAAAGGTCTATGGGAAACTCTCAAAGATCTATGGGAAACTCTCAAAGATCTATGGGAAACTCTCAAAGATCTATGGGAAACTCTCAAAGGTCTATGGGAAACTCTCAAAGATCTATGGGAAACTCTCAAAGATCTATGGAAATCTCAAAGATCTATGGGAAACTCTCAAAGATCTATGGGAAACTCTCAAAGATCTATGGGAAACTCTCAAAGATCTATGGGAAACTCTCAAAGATCTATGGGAAACTCTCAAAGATCTATGGGAAACTCTCAAAGATCTATGGGAAACTCTCAAAGATCTATGGGAAACTCTCAAAGATCTATGGGAAACTCTCAAAGATCTATGGGAAACTCTCAAAGATCTATGGGAAACTCTCAAAGGTCTATGGGAAACTCTCAAAGATCTATGGGAAACTGTCAAAGATCCATAGACGTCGGAACTAGGGGTGCGGGGGGTGCGGCCGCACCCCCTCCGCGTGTGCCGGGAGCGAGAAGTTATCACTATCCTGCGTTCCTTGCAGCCCAAAACCCGCTCCATGCTGTCGGAGAAGCTTATGAAGCTCTGTCTGGCTAATATCTGTCGCAGCCTCTGAGCGCTCTTTCTCAGCCTTGCGCAGATTAGAGACCTGGCTACACCAGTGACGTGCGGTGGGGGATCAATCATGTGTTCATATGATTATACATCATATAAACCAACAGGACCTACAGGAACAGGAGCGGCTTATACACAATTTGTTTGGCTACAGCAGAATATGATTTAATGTCTGCATTGTTTTCTCATACAAAACGCAAACGTTTGTAAAAAGTACAAAGTGTGTTATGGGCCTTACCTTAGGTATTAATGAACAGCACAGACCACTTCAGTTAGGACCAGTTTCATGTTTAAGTCCAGATAATAGTTTGAGCACAGACATGTAATGCTCCATTTGGAAATAAGTTCAATGAGTTTTAAAAAGTAAAAAAAACGGGTGTCTCCTCCGTAAACTCCGAGTTTTGCTGCAGCCGACTCCCGGTTAAATCCAATTTCTAAATTCAACCTTACCCTTCACCTCCTTTTCTTATGATTCATATCATCATTGGAAGCAAAACATTACTCTAAGTGCATTTTAAATTATCTTAAAATGTATTATAGGTATGTTAGCCAAACCTGTAGCTGCCCTTAGCAGAAGAAGAACAAGAAAGGAGCTTTCTGATGGAATTGGATGCAGCCAAAGTTTGGGCTCACAAGCGCCCCCTTGAGGCTTTCCTCACTTACAAGCTGTGGTTGAGCGCGATTAAGACCCATATTTGCTTCAAAAACACAATTTATGAGCCATCCTCTTAAATGTAAACATGTTGATTGTAAATTAAATATTTTTGAACTTTTTAAACTGTGATAAACAGAGAAAACAGTTTGATAGCACCTCACAGGACTCTCCCTGTGAGCTGTTGCTTTTTACGTCTCCCAAGAGAGGCTCGCCTCACAGCACCGCTCTGTCAAATCTGCGATTTCAAGGTATAAATAAATGAAATAAGACACAGCACAAATCACTTGATAAAGTGACCAAACATTATTGTATCCATTTTATTACTTTTCTTTCTATGATCTTAGGTGAGGGCCTTGCCTGCCTCATCTGACCGCACGTCACTGGGCTACACAACACAATGAAGCCACCGGAGAGACTGACGCATGAATGCGTATTGAAAAAAAAAAAGTTCAGTTTGATAAGTGACTTGCTTGATATATATTGTTTATTTTGTTTTTCTTAACAATTAAGATGGTATGTTATTATCCAGTGTAATCCAAGTATGAGTCTCTCCCTCGACTCTCCCAACAAAAACCCGCCCCCCCTCTCAGAAAATAGTTCCGACGTCCATGCAAAGATCTATGGGAAACTCTCAAAGATCTATGGGAAACTCTCAAAGATCTATGGGAAACTCTCAAAGATCTATGAGAAACTCTCAAAGATCTATGGGAAACTCTCCTGTATTTGGGCATCGTCTGGTCCTCCCGGTTCTGTGCAGTGGATGATCTCCCATAATGCATTGCCCCAAACACGCGTGTGTGGGTCTCACACCGGGTCTCACGCACGTGCACAGAGGGTCTCACGCACGTGCACAGAGGGGCTCACACACGTGCACAGAGGGTCTCACGCACGTGCACAGAGGGGCTCACGCACGTGCACAGAGGGTCTCACGCACGTGCACAGAGGGTCTCACGCACGTGCACAGAGGGTCTCACGCACGTGCACAGAGGGGCTCACGCACGTGCACAGAGGGTCTCACGCACGTGCACAGAGGGTCTCACGCACGTGCACAGAGGGGCTCACGCACGTGCACAGAGGGTCTCACGCACGTGCACAGAGGGGCTCACACACGTGCACAGAGGGTCTCACGCACGTGCACAGAGGGGCTCGGCTCTGACCAATCAGAGCAGTTCATCAGTGCTTCCGTGTTTTAGCTAAAGCCCCACTTCACTTCCTGTTCGCGGGGAACGGCTTGAGTTTCACTGGAGTTCAGCAGTGGTTTACACGAGTTTCCCAAATAATGCTCAAACGGGGATTAAACTGTGAGAATACTGGGCATTTTTGGGACACAGCAGTGCTCTTTGATTGTGCTGTCATTGTGTTTTTATAAAGTTAACAAATCCCTCTGAGTGGCCACAGACGAAGCTCTACCTCAGAGAGAAAGCACAACCACACTTTTGGGTCAGTTTCAGCTGAATGTATCAATCTAATTACTAAAAAACGTCACTAAAACTCACCTAAAAGCCATAGAATAGCACAAGCAGGAAGTGAACGGGCTGATCTAGAATAGCACAGGCAGGAAGTGAACGGGCTGATCTAGAATAGCACAGGCAGGAAGTGAACGGGCTGATCTAG